TCCATGTCCATGGGCATGCCGCTCATGTCGGCGCCATTTAGGTTGTTGGGCTGCGCGAAGTCGATGGGGGTGTCGAGAAGGGGCAGTCCGTTGGTGAGAGGGTTGTCCATCAGGTCGTGGTTGGCCGGTGGAATCTCGCCGCCGAGGGCAGGCATGGCCGACGCATCGCTGGTCGCGGCTGCCATGTCGGGAATGCGCTTGTCGGGAGCAGGCGAGGCAAGGGCGTCGGGGGTGTCATACTGGGGGCTGACATGGTGTAGAAGCTCGTTGGAAGGGGCTACGGCCATACTGCCGCCGCCATCTTCGTTGGGAAATGCGTAGTTGTAGGTGGAAGGGTACTGGAAGAAGTTCACGGAATGGAGGTCAAAGATGCCGTCCTCTGCACATGGTTAGCGGCGCGCTTCTTTTTCGCCCAGCAAACCGCGTCGCGGTGTCGCGCAATACATACGAGGGAAGCAATCGTTGGAGGGCGCGACAAAGCTGTAGCTGAATGCGTCTGCCGATAGGAAAGGGTCTGCGTCGTGCTGTCGCAGCGGGTTGGTGTCTTCGGAGGATGTCGGTCGAGGCTGCCCATGAGAGGCTTGCGCCGGGCCTAATCCTGCTGCACGTGGGTCTTGGCCGCCCATCTCCGCATCAAGGTCCGACGGCGCCGATGCGAAAGATGAACTCAACTCTCGAGCCCGTTCCATTGATAGCTCCTCGAAATATTCTTCAAAACTGAAAGACGAGTGTCGCGATATCGGCAGATCGTCTGCTGTCTCACCTGGTGAATCCATTGTCAGTACATTCGTTCTGGGTGCAGCAAGAGCGGGCGGTAGCGGTAGCGGTGCAGGCAATAGCAAGGCGAGGATAGAGTGCACAAGAAGGGCGAGGGCACCTCTACAAGAACGACGGGAGCCTCAGATCAGGTCATCAAAGGTGAGCCCGTTCCGGCACATTTGGCCGTCACTTTTTGGTAGGGAAAGAGCCAAGCACTGAAAGTTTCCACCCAGAACCGCGACCCAGGCCAATCGCAGCACCCTTAAAGTAACCCATACGTGTGAATTACCTGCCAGTCCCACCCCCAAGGCCCTGGAGGACTTGACAGTGATATGCCCCCCAAGAAGAAAGCCCAACAAGGCGCGCCTGCCAGGCCGGCGGCGTCATCTGAACCAGCGAGACAACCCCCGAACTGGCCTGCCCTCGCTCCTCTCGTACCAGAAGAGGACCTTGCCCTGCACGAGGTGCTTCCAAAACAGATTGTAACCATCCCTAACTTCTTCACGGCTTCGCTATGCAAGACCTACGTGTCTTTCCTCTCCTCGCTGCCATTGACGACAACGCCTGGGAAACCGAAGAAAGGCGACGCGGTGAGAGTGAACGACCGCTATCAAATCGATGACCCTGCGTTCGCTGAGCGACTATGGAACGACACAGGGCTAAGGAGGCTAGTCACCGCCGATGCGGAGGAAGGGGCGCTCGGCCTCACTGAAGCGCAGCGGAAAGAGCTGTGGGGCGGCGAGGTGGTGGGCCTCAATCCCAACATCCGTGTCTATCGGTACTCCAAAGGCCAGTTCTTCGACCAGCACTGTACGTCATGACTACTTGGTCACTCTGCCCAAGTCATCGGACGGTCGTGACGATACCCATGCTAATGGAGCCAGATGACGATTCCAACAATGTGACCATTCAAACTCCTGGATCACCGGCTGTATCGACGCGCACCACCTGGACTTTGTTGATTTACCTCACCTCACCGGCCACGGGATGCATCGGTGGAGAGACCGTCTTCTACCCGGACCCGCCTAAGAAGAAGAGCCGAGACCCTCCACCTGAGCCTTTCGTTGTCGACCTTGAAGTCGGCCTCGCGCTGCTGCATCGACACGGCCCCGACTGCATGCTGCACGAAGGCCGCGAGGTAACGAACGGAGAGAAATGGGTCATCAGAAGCGATCTATGTGTCAAGCGCTGAGTCCACATGGCTCTCCGGTACCACGATTCGTGGTCGCTTCTTCTTTCTCCATTTGTGAACACCAACATTCACTTTTGGAAATCGACGACCACCTATGCGTGAATAAGCCATACTTACGAGGCTGCGTATATTCTGCCGAAGTCTGTCGCGTCGCGTCCTTCTGCAGCGTGTGGCTTTGTATCTTGCGTACTCACTTGCAGATGCGATAAGAGTATCCTTCTTTTACAGACTACGCTGCAGTCCTGCATTCCATATCTCCAAAACGTGAGAGATCGGAATATCAGATTAAAATGTCTCTTAGAGAGCACGCCGGGTGCACGCACGTAGGTGTAGCACAGCGTGAATGGTATCGCTATCCGTAATCCTGTCGTACACCAGCGCCGTGCAGTCGACGAAAGCGGTGGTAAATACTTAAGTTGAAGTCATACAAGACATGACATGGCTACAGCTGTCACACCATGCGGCAGGAGTTTGAACGAAGTACAACCGTGGTTCCAATTATCGTCTGGTTCGCTTTCCATGTGTGGTATTCGCAACCTGGCATATTTCACACCCCCACAGTAGCTTACCGCACATTCCAATATTGCAGAACACCCCTTTTTTGTCCTCAGGCGCTTCACCAACCTCCTCGATACAATCTCTTTTGTTTCCTGGCTCTTCAAGCTTTCGCTGCTCATAAGACGGTTCCTTAGCAACGTCTATACATCCTCTATTCGTGTACTTCGACACAAATGAACGAGCCGGCTCTTCTCGATCCATATCGACATCTTCATCGCGGCTGATACGCTCAGCAAGCTTCCACGGGGGCTCGAGATACGAACAGAGTGGCGACGGCGCGTTCTAAAGCACGAAAGCCAACGTCGGCTGCAGTTAACAAAGTACGAATGTTCATGCTCGATGTTTGGATTGGGTTTCAGGCTATCCTCGCTTGAGGCGGAAGACGAGATGGCCTCATACTCTTGGCGATTCATCGTCGGTTTCATCTCGGCGCTTTAACGCAACAGGGATTAGCTTACGGATACGCCCTTCCAACATCCCGTTTCATCGCCCTTGACTCACGCCTAAGACTTCCGATTGAGCTATCGCCGGCGTCTACAATGAGTGGAGAGGGTGGACGCCGCCAGGAACGACAGCCTCGACGTTTCGGTGTGGGCCGGCACGTTTGACATGCGAGTACATCTGTACGGAGGCCGCTGCTGCCTTTGGCTCTCCAGCTGCGCTCACTTTCGTTTCTAATATCAAATTCCCCGACTGACCTGGTGTCACTTATTCTATTCGATCGACATGATGGAGCCACAACACCATTACGCAGATGTACACTCACAGGACCATCACCATGATGACGACTCGTCGACAGAGGTCGAATCCTTAGTTGGAGGAGAGAAGCAATGGGCAGCTGGCGACTATCACAGACGAGCACCATCATCACGAAGGAAAATATTGTGCCCACCGCTAGTGGCGGCGATGCGATGGGTGCTGGTGATAGGACTACAACTCGTAATCATTGGGCTCTTGGCTAGAGACCAAGGCATGCTCGACTCTACAAGATGGAAGGCTCGATCGACAAGCGCAAACGATGTTGGCGGCGACATCACCGGGTGGTCACCACATAGTAAGAGTTGCCTTGCAGTCCAGGCCGGTACATCAGTTAACCGAATTGCAGTTCCTACCCAGATCACCAAGTTCGAGATCAACCAGACATTCGCGCCATACAATACATCAGAGTTCTTCAAGCCAGAAGTGCTCCGTGCATGGAACGAGCTGTTGCCTAGTATGACTTCCCAGGATCCGCTTTCTTAGAGGTCTCACTAACATCCACCACAGTCGGCATGGGCTTCCAAAGCATCCCCGATCCGGAGAACTACCACGACCTTCCCACCCCCATCGTCTGGCCCAACGCCACGGTCTTCACGACATCAATGACCCACCAACTTCACTGCCTCTACGCCGTCGTTGCCGTCTACTCCGGCATGACATCCGGCCACGAGCTTGAGGAAGACCACCACTGGCACATGATCCATTGCTTCGACTACATGCGCCAAGCTATCATGTGCAGCGCAGATATGGCTCTTGAAGGACTGGAGACGACCTTCCCTGACCACAACGGTGGCAGTGATGGCTGGGATAGCAAGCATGTCTGCAAGGACCCTAAGATGGTTAGGCAACGGTTGGAGAGTGTGAGGGCGTATGACGACCAAGAGATCTTCTGAGCGGGTCGCATGTCAGTATGCGTCAATGGTAGTTCCGTTATTGGTGGGTTGTTGAGTTGGTCTTGCGTCACGATGGTCAACCGTTGGACGTGGCCATTTCATCTTTACATATAATACATACTTCTTTGTAAAGCCCGCCGGCGTCCGAATCCAACCGTGACGAATACCAGTATCTCGAAAGGGTACCTGCGAACCCACCGAAGTGTACGATTAGTTCCCAACTACGTCCGATCTACATCACGCTGGAAGAGAAAGAGCAGAAACATGTCAAAAGTTGTACGATAGTAGCCGAATTACAGATAATCTTGGAGGTATCCGCAACATTTTCAGCCTCCGGGTGAATTACCACAACTGACCCTGGAGGTTCTCGATACTTCCCCGAAGAGCCTGCAACTTTCCATACGCCATTGGAGTACATCACGACTACTTATAATCGATCACTTGGCAATATACTAAACCCATGTATTCATGAAGTCAATGAAATCAAAACTTTTCTATTGTGCTAATTCCTGCGATTCTGTCAGCTAATGTCCTTCGCGACGGAGTGGTGGCCCGGGTTCTTACATTGAGCCTCGCTCAGCGGTCATGTCGCCGGAGTCGGTAGTGGGCCACGCCCAGCCGAAAGTGGGTGCGGGTGCGGTCGTGGGCTCCTACGTTACGTTAGCTGTGTTTTTTCTGGGACGCAACAGATAGGCTGGGAGCTCTTCAGTCCGGTCTAGAGGGATGTGATAATGGCTCCAGTGTTATTGTAGGTATCCGGGATCATGGAAAGAGTTGGAACCGCGACTCGTGAACGTCATATCCTCTTCGACTTTGTTGTTGATTCTCCATGTTGTTGCTCATTTCCTCCTTGAATTCTTCCTCCTTCGACTGGCCTTGTTGTCTTCTTTCCTGCTGAGTAGCATCATATCCTTATCCTGGTTCGTGTCATATAGAAAGACGCGGTGCTTATCGAATCGTGTAGTGGGGCCTGGAGAACTTCGCGGTACTTTCGAGCTTCGATTGGTCCGAAAGAAGTGACTGAAGGTCGCCGGGGTGCCGTATGGCTTGTTTGGGTATCCCGTTCCTGGCTCTAGTCTGCTGCAGGTGCTGAGTACACTTACAAGTCTTCTTTTTCTTCATCTTCTCTTTCTCCTCCTCCTCCTTCTTCTCAGCCGTCTTTGCGGCTGCTATCTGCTACACATTAGTATAAGTCTCATATTGTGCCTTTAGAAGTCCCAGTGAGGCTTACATTTTGGGCCTTGATGGCAGCCTCTTGCTCCGGAGAGCGGATGTTGGCTACATCAACCTGATTAGCTCTCTATTCTTAATCCTTTCGGGGTGTTACCGCATACAGGGTTGGTTCTTGCTTGGGTAGGCGGGAGACATTTTGCGGATGTTACCTGCGTATATCACGACTTACCAAAATCGCGACCTCGACTCGAAAGTTTCTGCTATCTCTCCCCAGCGCGCTAGCGCCGTTGAGCGTTTGCTTCTCACCTTCACTTGAGCTTCATACTGCTCATTTCGAGCCAGCTAGCCTTCCCGGTCGTATGACGCAACTCACCTTCACCTGTACTTGTGCGATTCCACACAATTAGCAGATGGCATTCGAGACATCCACTTTCATAAGAAACGAACAACATGTAGAGTGTCATGACATGAAAGACGTAGTCTGGTTCACAAAAAGCTTGAGATTTTGTACGGGTACGTTGAGACTGGAGGACTACCAGTTTACGTCAGTCGGTGATTTCAACTTTTGGTCTGTTCTAACACCCTCTCACTCATGGAAAAGCAAGGAGGACCAGTCGAATGCCTGCTTCAAATGTCTACCTTATCACTTGGAATAGACGAAGTTCGCACAGGCATATCATGAGAGCCCCCTCAGCTTGCCATCTGATACGAAGTAGTCCGTCATTTTCCCCAATGCACCGCCGCGGATTCTCACCTTTGAGCTTAGGGAGCAGCGTCTCCAAGGGAGTTGGTTTAGTTTAAGTGGGTCTCAAAGCAATCACACTATGGTATTAACTCACTTCTGCCCCCGGAAGCTTGCGATCGACTTGACGTGAAGCGGCATATAGGTGTTTGATTTGGTTGCGCCTTGCCCCACTTCTGCCATCAATGCTCTACGCTGGTTGCGAACAATCTCCATCATCAAGCCTTCACTGTACGGTCGAAGCGCAACTTCGAGCATTTGGTAACGATGTCACACGGATCAGCGATGTCCATCTACCAAAGTAGCACAGCGTGCAACGAACCACGACACCCGTACCTCAGTCAACGTGGCAATCATTAGTAGATGAGTGCCCGCTGCACACACTACATTCAAAAGGGTCAGAATTGCAGCGTAACAACAATGCTGTGTACGTACGACGTGATGAGAACTTAAATAGTGAAGGCGCCCCAGTTTGCGAAGTGATCATACTGGCACAAAGCTCGGGATGCGTGGCGATACGAACGATTATGTCGAGTTCACACAACCAGATAAGTGATGCTTCAAACGCCGAGACCTCTTTAAAGCGCCCATTGCCAGTTGATACAGCTCCACTGGAATCTATTACATGCCACTCGACTACGATGAAGCCTTCTACTCACATTGCACCCCCACAAGCCTCCACGGCGGAGACATCGGGCGAGAAAGAGACACCAGATCTTCCACAATCTACACCACCTGCAGATGAAGATGTCTCACATGATCCGTTCCACGACCTGATCCCCGGCTACCCCAAGCTTGCTGGACGCATGGGAATTATGCCAGAGATTGGCATGTTTAGAAGATTTGGTGCATTAAATGCGCGCAACCTACTCTACTACCAGAACGAATTAGCGTACCTAGAAGATCGGCTAAAGGAGGTTGAGGCTGAAGACGCGGAGAGCTCAGAGGGGAAGAAGGCGATGTATAGCCACGACGCTTATTGGCTCAATACCTCGAACCGCACAACGGACGACGAGCCCCGAGACGGCGATATGAGACAAAGAGAGCTTGTTCTGCGTATGAGATGTCTTTTGAAAGAATACAGTACGTCGGACCCACTGCACAGAACAATCTGATCATGTATCGCAGACGATGCACTCATCCAACAGGCCACTATACTCCAAACCATGAAGGAGCCCGATGCCTTCGACCTCGACGATATCCAACGCTTCTTAGCCAGTGACCATATGAAAGTACTCGCAGGTCTAGACGGGACTATCTGGGGTTCTTTTAAGCGACCAAAAGATTACAGTAGAGAGCTTGTGGTCCTCCGGGGCCGAAAGGATATGGATACCTTCTCACGAAAGATTGGTGCGAGAGCCATCGATTGGATTACAAATCTCGGCGGCAGACGTTGGAAGAAAGTCGACGTTCGTTTTGGAACCATTGCAGTTCATGAGGCTACAGTCTTCCAGTTCACCTTCTGGGTTACCAGCGCCATCGCATCAATCTTACCCGTTGTTTCCATCATCATACTGGTGAACACGAACTCACTGAACGGAAGACTAGCGATCATTGCAGCCTTCAATGTTCTCACATCAGTGTGTCTAACGGTGTTCACCGATGCGCGAAGAACTGATGTATTCGCGGTCACTGCTGCGTGAGTATCTGCTTCCATCATCACAAAGCTAAAATGGGGCTAATATTAGTATAGGTTCGCAGCGGTACAGGTCGTATTTGTAGGTGCAGCACTGAACAAAGGGCCACAGGAGGTTGTCTGGGCACCAGGTAGTGGACAAACAACATGTAATTGTATCGCATAGTCTAGTTCTGTAACTCATGCAAACCTGTCTGTATTACTACCTGCCCTCTTCAATTCCTACGATCGCTGTACCCTACACGTATAGGCAAATTGATCGCCAACTGGGCCACACTTGTCGCAAGTCTTGGGCTGCGAATTCATATCCCGATGATGAGCTCGACATGAATCCAGGAGGTGAAACCATCCTGTCTGCTCATACGAGAGCTCAACATCGTCCACTAGATTCTCCTGGCCCTGAAGAAGTACCTTGACATCCCAACAGGTGCTACAGTTAGGTCGTGCTGTCTGGCCGTGCCTGTAGCCGCAATTGTTCTCAGAAGTCCTGTCTTCATATCGGATAACCGTGCGACATATACAACATACCCAGGCGGATTCCAGCGTTACCACCTGTTTAAGCGATTTGTGTTTCGTTTCGGCTCCCGAATCGCTCGTTTGGAGTGCTAAAGGATTAGTGCCGTGCGCGCTTGACCAACGTCCACCCTGCTCCATCTTGCGAGGGACAGAAATGTAGGGTTGTGTCATGATCGTAAGAGAAGTGTGTACCTAGCAATTCCAAAGCCCGTATTCTCCTTTATACAGCTTTGAATAGCCGTTGTTTGCTGCAGTGAGCATTCATATCCATCATGGGCTGCTGTCGACTGACTGGCAGCACGCTGGAAGTGAACGTGTGCGTTGTCCTTCTGAACAACTCCACTTGCTTGAAACGCACATTCACTTGAGCCGTGACTAGACAAACTCGATTTTTCATCGTTGAAAAAAGGATGCTGGCGCAATACGAGCCGCTATTATGCGTCTCCAACACGCATGGGACTGCGGGTATGATCTCGGGTTTGCTAAGGACCAGCTATCTCAGTACGTTTTGTGGCTGTTGGCATTTACACAGGAAGCACTGCTGACCATATCGACCCATCATTAGCTAGAGTCCTTCAAGTATGCAGCTGGGTGATGTCATTGCTCGATAGTGGTCTGTCCTTGCCGCGACCACAGTGGAGAATTCCAAGATACTAGAAGACGTCAGCATTGATATTACGAAAGATACCAAAGGCATAGAGCTGAATTGAAGACTAAATCTCCATATTTGAAGATAAGGATAGATCGATAAAGATACTGTAGGCGTCCGCAATTTCGACTTGCGCAGTCCCGCAAATCATCGGTAGATTTGTAGTCATGATACTGACATGAGGTTTCTTCATCTCCATTTTCCTCTTTCCTTGTCGCCTCGCCGCGTCATTCACGAAAGGCGAATCGCGGCGTTAACTCCACGATATCTGTAAAAAGTCAACATTGTTTCACAAAGAATTTACACCTTGATAAGATAAGCTTCGTGTCGCAAGCCGAGACCCCAGCGCTGGTGTTACCATGCACGACTTTTGGAGCACGGAACGCGATTGTCATGATTGGTCGACGTGAGGTCGCATGATCTGCACTTACCCGTCCGATGTAGCTCGAGGATCAATCATAAAAGGAGTTTGGCGTTCCCCTTCGAACGAAGTCTCATATCATTCTACATCCAGCCCAATCTGGAAACGCTCACGATGATTGAGAAAGCTTTAGACGCCGCATCTGATAGGAGCGAAATCACTTCGCCTCAATTTGAAGCATGGAGAAAGCGCCCGAGTGGTTATCCTCGCTTTTCAGAGCGCATTGCAGTCAAACCGGAAACAGGCATCTACCGACGATTCGACGCGCTCAACGCCCGGCGTATACTATTTCTCCAAGCTGAGCTTTGTGTATTGGAACTCGCGATACGGGAGGTTGAAGCCAGGGATAATGCGGACAAAACCGGGAAAAAGTCGCAATACGCGACTGACTACTACCGCATGCTGAAGGCTCCAGTCAACCAGCAAAGAGAGCAGTTAGAGCTGGTTACGAAAATGAATGGAAAGCTCGACCAGTACAGTAAGTATTACCACGAAGCATACATGCATTTCTGTGTTGACGGCAGGATACTCTTCAGACCAAGCTGTCCTTCAGGTATCGAGGCTTCACGAACTGCGATCGCCCGACCGATTCGATCTTAGCGATGTCCAAACATTCTTGCGAAGTAATGAGATGGGACCGCCGTACCTGGACGGCGAAGATCGTGACCTATGGGGCAGACCGGACGATGTCAACAACTATGCGCCCGATCTGGTTGGAGTGCACCCCCGCATCAAGGAGGACACATTCTCTCGGTTAGTTTCAGAAAGAGCGATATATCTCTTCAAATGTGGACTGGGTATGTTCACGAAGGGTAATCAGCATGTCGGCCGGTACATCTACTATGACTCCGTAGTCTTGAGGGCGACGTCGTGGATCACGTGTATCCTGGCCTCTCTTTTGCCGATTGCGTCGATAATCGTGTTGACGCATCTGTCAAATTTGAACACGAAGCTTTGGGTAATCGCTGTGTTCAACGTGTTTACCAGTGTGTGCCTGCGTACGTTGACGGATGCGAAACGGGCGGAGATTTTCGCTGTAACTGCTGCGTAAGAGTTGTCCTTGTCTATGTTGATGTTGGCTGACGATAATAGATTTGCTGCTGTACAAGTCGTGTTCGTAGGGACAGATCGCGACGCAGGTTCTGCTGGCTAGAGTGTGATGTGGCAGTCGCGCGAGTTTCTTTGGTGTCGTGAATGATATAGATAGACCTTCGTAGTTCTCAAGGATGACTGTTACACTAGCTGAAGGTATAGCACGGCACTTGTATGCAGCAGGTCCCACCGTGAACGTCAGCATATGGGTTCTATGTCGATGATGGCAGTGCAAAGGACCTCCGCATCCGAGCCTTCCACGCCAAGGCGCCAGTGACGCTAAGCCCCGCGTCTTCCATCTCATCTCGCGCGAACACCAACCGCGCCCTTGCCCTCTATCTAGGATCGTTGCACGGCACATACGCAAGCATCTTATAGCTGAAACAAAACCGAATGTTGTTACACAAGCCCGAAGCGAGAACCCGTCACACCTCATACGCTTTTGACTCAATGCTAACGATCTCGCCTACATGACATACTCAACACGACGCGAAGCACTAGAGCTCATTTTATAGTCGCGCCGATGACATGCACCCCGGATGAGCGTTTCGCAAACCATCCACATGCTAAGAGCCTCAAGACTGACCCAAGACCAACCCCGCAATCTGGCCACCCCGCCGTTGCACGCCCAGACAAGCTGAGCACTGACGTTCTCGGTGTCATTACTGGATGACAGATCTGCGCTCATGCTTCGACCACGAGCATCATTGGACAATCCCACGTTTGGCTTCTCGGCATGACAGCGGTGTCGCAAAGCTGGCGACGTTGGCACTTCGGTGGTAATATGGCGTCAGGAGCAGTATCCCGTCGTGGAGGTTTCTCCTTGTTCAAGGCTTCTTCACTTCGTGCTCGGGTCTTCTGATGACTTGGTTGGATCTCACTAGACCCTGTTCCTTGTCTACTCGCTCCATTTGGGTCCATATGCGAGACGCCAAAAGATCAATAGGCTTTCTGTCTGCCGGGTTTGTGATGGAGATGGAACGCACGGCATGCCCAGCCACGACACCCCGAGCTCTTGGGAAGCTTCGCCCTGGCTGTAATCCGGAATTTGCCTCGGTCTCCATCGTCATCGCTCGAGTATAAGTGGATGCGTGATAAGAGAAATGATCCGCAGCTGCTCTTGTCCCTGCGACGATCCTCCCCTGTCTTCTTGAGCCTTTTTCACGGTGCAGAGAACTCCGGATATTCTGCCCACCATGAACAGCGACGACGATTACAAGCAAGACACTACTCACAAGGAAGCAGTCAGTCCGACGGCGACGGACAACAACGTCTCGGAGTATGCTTATGATCAGATCGAAGAGAAGAGGTTGGTGCGTAGGGTCGACTGGAGGCTGCTACCTATATTGGGTGCCCTGTACTCCATCGCGCTCATAGACCGCACAAACGTCAGTTCAGACACCTTCTGTCCGCATCTAGACGAAACGCTTACCAGCGACAGATTTCCAACGCCCGAGTTGCTGGTATGGGACCGGACCTCAACCTCCAAATCGGAGATCGCTACACCATCGTCCTGGTTCTCTTCTTTCCGACATACTTCCTGCTTGAGCTTCCATCTAATATTGTCCTTCGTAAGGTGGGCAGCGCGAACTGGCTAGCTTTCATCGCCGTATCATGGGGTGCTGTCATGATCGGACAGGGCTTCGTCGAAAGCTGGATTTCACTTGCCATATGCCGTGTATTACTCGGAGCTTTCGAGGCTGGGTTCTTCCCTGGATGTGTATATCTCATCACTTGTTGGTATCGCCGCTATGAGACACAAAAAAGGTATGCGGCCTTTATCAAACCAAATGCATGGTAGCAATGGCTTACCAAGAATGCAGACTGGGTGGCTTCTATCTCTTCTCTGTCGGTATCGGTGGTCTCGCGAACATCCTCGCGTATGGTCTCATGCAAATGGAAGGTGTCGGTGGTCTCCGAGGCTGGAGATGGATCTTCATCATAGGTAAGCAGAAACCACCACCAATTCTCATCTAGGTCTTCTCTTCACATTGCACTTCGCATCGATCTGAGGCTTCTCAAGCTTTGTTGGTTCTACCCAAGCAATACTGACACTCAGTGTAGAGGGCATCTTGACCTGCATTGTTGCGATCGCAGCATGGTTCATCATCCTAGACTTTCCCGATAAAGCCGAAAAGAAAGGGTTTCTCACTTCCGCTGAGGCCGCTGTCATCATGCAGCGTATCGAAGACGATCGAGGCGACTCGGTAGCGGATCCATTGACCTGGGCCAAATTCGTTTACCACTTGAAAGACCTCAAATTGTGGGCCTACGCCACGTTGTTCATGTCGACAACCATGCCAGCCTACGCCTTCAGTTATTTCCTCCCGGTCATTCTTCTCGGCATGGGATATTCGCCTGGTCAGGCTAACGCCCTATCCGCACCTCCCAGTTTGTTTGCGATGTTCACAGCCTTTGGGTTCGCATGGCTAGGAGACAAATACCGCCTTCGCGCTCCCGTGATTGCAGCGCAATCGATTCTTGCCATCATCGGTCTCATGATCGTAGCATATGCTAAGAACAACGGGGCAAGGTACTTTGGCTCATTCCTAGGAGTATGTGGCTGCCAGGGCAACGTCCCGGCCATTCTCGCGTACCAAAGCAACAACATCCGTGGCCAAAGTAAGCGGTCCGTCGGAAGCGCTCTCCAGATCGGCTTCGGTGCAATCGGTGGTATTCTTGCTTCAACGACTTTCGTTCAGGAAGAAGCTCCAACATACATCACGGGTCTCTGGGTCACGGCTGGTCTTCAGATCTACATCCTACTAGTGCTGTGCTGCACTACTACGTACTTCTTGAAGAAGAATAAAGTCGTAGATAAGCAGAGAGCTAATGGAGAGCCGATGGACGAGAATGAAGGCCAAGCTGGGTTCAGGTATACCATATAAGCAGTGGGGAGGATGGAGGCGTGGAGGAATGTTCTTTGCGCATCGCGTCTTGTGGTCGAAGTCTCCTACGGTTCGTCCAAGTGATGTCAACGCAATACTAGCTTTTAATGAAGCCTTCATGAGAATGCAATATTCAAGTCCCTGTCCTTGCGAGCAAGCCTTACAACCTTGAAAAGACGGTGGGATGGAAATAGATCCTTGCCATATGGGGAATAGCGCGACACGGTGATGACGTTTACCGCCGGACCCTTTCGCGTCGCAGGTGATGCCCATTCATTTGTTTCAGACCAAGATAGCAACGCCTCAGTCAGCGACGCAACATGCATCAGCTACTACTAGTCGCCCTGCAGCCTCGTCATTCGCACATTTTCTCTTTACTTTTTTGACTTCCAAGACTTCGATACCCAACTTTGTATAGCTCCCAGTAATTGTAGTCGCTAATCGTTACGTTCACCATCATTCGCAGCCGGTCTCGAAAACACTACGAATTTTCTATCTTTAGCCCTACCATAAGAATAATCGAGCGTCCTATTATCAGGAGTCCGATCTCCTACGCGTCCACGAAATCGCGCTTTCACGATGAGCGCAAAACACAACCTCCACGTCGCGCATCATCTTCCAAGCCACATCTCCCCCGCCTCGGTCGTAGCCGCGCTGCATGACCACGACACGACCCTCACACTCCAAGCCCTTAGCTGTGGCTACGAAACAGCCCCCAACACCGCCGAGGCGACCCTCAAAGACACGTACTGGTATCCGCCCGACCAATACCCCGTCGCAACCTACCACGTCAGCGAGTGCATAACCTGGTTCCCGGGTATCGGGCAGTACGGGAAGAAGTACATAACCTTCCCAGTCTGTTACCAGAACACGAGACAGGGCATTAAGACGCGCGCAGATGCGGCGGCGGGTGTGATACTCCGGGCCGAATACAGGGTAGTTGCGAACGGCGAACTGGGCAGCGAGGTTGAGGGTGAGGGCATGGGCGTCGGAGACGCGCAGTTTGTGCTCGTAGAAGATGTGGAAGTCAGTTGCGCATGGTGGCTTATGCCCTTTGTGAAAGGCAAGATGGAAGAAGGACACCGAAACCTCTGTAGGATGGTCATCGAGAAGGTAGAGAAGATGGTAAGCGAGGGGTGGGAGGGCCATGATCCTGTGACATCTGGTCTACATGGTGTCGCGAGCCGGCATGACAGCAGGATAGAGGGTATGGAGGATGTGAACACAGGGTTCGCGCAGGAGACGAGGGAACATTATGGGAAGCCACAACCCGTGGTGTTTGGGCAGACACATCAAGATGTACCGCGATATGCGGACGCGGATGCGATGGAGGAGGAGCGGCCGCACATGTCCGCCGGGCCGCTACCGGAGAAGGTTACCTACGGATAACTCTTGCTCGCAGGCTACAGCGCTTGGAGTCGCAATGAGCGCACGTATAAATCGTAGATCACTCCACCAAAAGTGAAAGTATGTCACGACCCTGTGATCGGACAGAGGGCAATAGTAATGACGGGAAGCGAAAGGCAATCAACGCGTGATTGCATCGCACAATCTGTAACTAATGAAACCACATGGACTTCTCCCGACCCTGCCATCACCAACCTCACAAAGATATGACGCTCTCGGCTACTCAACTACCCTTATGCGTCGCACTCGCGCTTCTCCTGCCCCTCTGGGCTCGTTCAACGACCCAGGATGAGGTGTGGGCAGTCTTCCTCCTGACGGCTCTGCTTGCGATATTGGCGTATCAAACACGCTTCGCTATCGACTTTGGTCTCGCCAAAGATGCCATGATAGCGGTGTACGGAACATTCATCGCGAGTTATGTTGCCGACTATTACTTTGTCGGTCCATGGATGCGATTAGCCATGGCGTATATCTTCTCGTGGGATGCGCTGCAGTACATCTTACCTTTTACCGAACATTATGTAAGATAGCTTCCTTCCCAGCCATAATGTCATTATCTAATGGAAATATAGATTCGCGTCCGAGAAGCACGCCAGAAGCCTTTGAGATCATCGCCAATACTGTACCTGCCGTTTGTCATAGCTGCTATATTGACAATGTACCT